GGGTCAGAACCCTCACGTTCTGACCCACGAACGCTTATGCTCCCAGTACTTCTGTTAGTCTCAAAGGTGCCACAGGACCCTCTGTTTCTTTTTTAAAGGGCATTGATGCCTCTGATTTGGGGGGAAAACCTACTGGCTGTAAATAGACATAAGGAATTAGAGACAAGATAGATCAAATTTTGAGCCTGTTAACCTTAATAATGCCCCTTTTAAGTACTGTCTAATGTATAATTAAAATACAGACATGTACATGAAACTAATTTCTTGAATCCTAAATAGATATGAAACATTTGGGTTTCTTACAGCTTTATGCTTATTGTTTGTTTTTCATATGGGCCTAGATAAGGGAAGCTAATCTGGATATAATTTTGGACAAACTGAGGACACAAAGCTCTGAGGGAAAGCTGAAGAATCTTTTAGGAAAGGCCTTTGCTTCTCTGGATGTCATTAGAGCCGGGTATGTATTCTGGATGGTAGAAAATATGACACACTTTCTGAGTGAAGGATGTCCAATGCTTGATAAGACCATTCCAATCACATTTGTGTTGCATTTTGAATGCATTTGTAGAAAAGCCAAAATTGCACTAGCTACTTCACCTTGAGGAAGACTACTGTCAAATAATGTACTCTCCTGTCTTATTGCATTTGCTCAGAGTGGGCAAAAAACTGTTGGCGCAAAACTCCATTTTTTTAAAGAGTTGGGGGAAAACAAACAAATAAATAAATATGTGATTTTTAAAAAATTTCTTTCATTTGAATTTCTTGGGTTGACATTAGTGTTCTGTATTGTGCTAAGGATATGCTAGCATAATAAATGAATGATTTAATCACAAGAACGTTGCAGTAACCCTGGAAATTAAAGATCTTGGATAATGGGACTACATAGATCAGGAAATTGATTTATGCCAACAACTTCACTTCTAGATCACATATTAGATGCAGATGTATATTATGTTCACATATAATTTTTATTACATTATGTAATGAATTCTCTTAAATAGCAACCTGGTATTTGACAGGTATGAGGCCTTTCACCAAGACATAGTGAAGATAGTAGCATCCTACCCAGAAGCTATACTGAAGGAATTGATTTCTTATAGTTCATCCATTGGCCAGTATTTTAGCGTGAAGGAAGTCTATAAACAGGTATAAAGAAAACAAACGTCTTATGATTTGAAATCTGGCTGATGCATTGTTGTTTCATTGTTGGGGATCTTGCATTCAAATCCAAATCAATCAAATATTATATCAAATGAAAGAGAGTTTTGGCCACCATAGGACTGAGGTTCATTGGC